AAAGTGGCTTTCACAAATAAAGTAAAACAATAATGTAACTTCCAATTAAAACATAGTTATGGATTAAAAAGAGCACCCAACCTGTGGAACCACTCACAGGCCAATTTCCTGAATAAAGTGCTCATTGCCTGCCACTGGAAGGATAGTAGAGAGAGGGAGGGAGCACATGAACCTGACTGCCTGGGGAGGAAGTTCCACATTCTCCAAAACCGGACTCCCTCACATGTCACCTCCAGACATGGTTGTGGTCTTGAAAGAAAGTTCTTTTCAGAAGATCTTGAGCATCAGGTAGACTCAAATGGGAGAAGGCAATCTTTCAGGTAACCTCGTCCCAAATCATCTAGGGCTTCTCAGATTCTAAGCAGTAGGTTGAATTAAGCATGGAAACAGATTGGTAAACAGGGAAACTGCCGTAACAGTGTAAGTTGTGTGTTCTGTTTAACTTAACAGTCTGACAATAGCATTCTGGACCAGCTGAAATTTCTGAACACTTTTCAAAGGCAGCCCCATGTAGAGCATATTATGGTTGTCCAAATAGGATGTGACAAAGGCATTTATGACCAGGTATCTCTAGCATCAGCAATGCAAACGCACTCCTGGTCATCCCCAACCCTTTAGCATCCAGATTGGCATTGAAGAGAACACAAAAAACCATGACCCTGTGTCTTCATCCCATCTTGGCCCAAATATCAAAATACATTTAACATGTATGTTTTGAGAGAAAAATACATTTAAAATGGTACTTTCATGTGATTTCATTTCATTTATTTTTATGTGATTTTTAAAAAGATTAATGCATAAATATAACAGACTATGGATGTTGTGCTTGAGCATGCCAAACATGGCAACCATTTTATGAGAGTGACTGCAGTACTCTTAACGTTCCAAATGTGTTCACTGCCCCAAAAAGGTTAGAGCAAATATGTTAGGACATTTTTTACAGTATTCTCAATTAAAATTAATTGGATCTGTTCTAGTTTGGCCTCCAACCCAAACATGGAACTGGAGCTGCTTTGGGCATGCTAATTGATGAGCTGCACTAGGAGATCACAGGGAGTGGGACCTGTTGATTGATTCTCCTGAACTGTTTGATACCCTTAATCTTAGTATTCTTTTGCACATCTGGACAAGGTGAGTTTGCAGATGCTGAGGGACTTTTGTTCTGCCACATAACCTTTTGTACCCATGCATTTTAACTGCTGTGTGAAACTGCTGGGTAAAATAATCCAGAGATATGGGCTAAGATGTCAATGATTTGAGAAGGCACCCAGCTCTCTCTTGTTTCTATCTTAAATTCTGGGCATTTACCATAGGTGAGGGTGAACAAACTAAATATTAATCCAGTTAAAATTGAAGTACTCTTGGAGATTCTGAAGGCTTTGGAGGAGACATAATGCCTAGCTTGGATTGGATTTCAGTCCCCTGGAGAGACAAGTCTGAAGGCACTGGGATCTCTTGTTGCTTTTGGATATGCAAGTGATGGCAGTGGCCAGATGTGCCTTTAGCAACTATGGTTTGCCAGCTATTTCCATTCCTGAGGAAAAGAGGCCTAGTCGTATTTATTCCCTAGTCAGCTTTTAGTGACTCACATTGTCACTCCAGGTTTGACTACTGTAATAACTTGACTTGGGACTGTGAAGCTCAATGGGTTTTTGACATATATTGATTTTGAGAGACTTGTGTTTGAGCTGTATTATATGATAAAGCCCTAAAACCATGTTTTCTTAGCTTAATTTTCTATTACTATAATAATAGTGCATTTATATCTCACCTTTTTATCTCTTCTGAGGTATGCAAGGCAACTTACATAGTTCTACTCCATTCCATTCTTATTCTCACAACACCACTGTGAGGTGGGTTAAGCTGAGAATATGTGACTAGCTGAAATTACTTTTATATCTTAAAAAGTTCTAATTTGGGGATTTTTAAAAAATTAAAAAGTTTCTCTTCCCTTTTGTGTGTTAACCAGTACTAAAACCTCTCAAACTTCTCAGTGATGTATCAACTGACCATTAATTTCCAGGTTTCCCATGTTTCATTATTAATTTAGCTGCAAAACAAACTTAAATGCATTGCTAGGCCTGCCTCTTATTGTGGTAGACTTAATAATTTCCAACAGAAGCAGTCAAGAAGGAAGTGTGATATCACGGTCAAGATTATGCTAGTCTTTCTGAATATTTCACTAATGGACAATCCACAAAACATTTGAAAAAAGGCAATCATTCTTTCCAGCCTAGGCCCTCCATTCCAGAAACCATTTTATAAACTGCCCTCCAAAGCAAACACTGTTGTGTCTAGTACCACCTAAACAATGCTTCACAAAATCCCTTCAGTGCTTAGAACAAGATGGTCAACGGTCAAAGATGTTTTCAAGAATCCCTAGATCGCATAGCCAAGAGATAGTTTAAGTAAGACCTATGAGGATGTTCTACTTTTCTAATGTCCAAGTTTGTAAATACATTATTTTATTATTTTGAACTCTAAGCAGACAAACTTTGGTTTTGAGGTTCCTTTTAGCTTGGAAAAGAACCAAAAAAAAAAAAAAAAGTCACTGTCCAGACGAAATATAGCTGATTTCTAGGGATATACTTCCTTTTTGGAACAAGTGACCTGATCAAAATATAAACTGTCTGTTTTTTGAGATATTTTGTATCAATAGTGCATCTTTCGTAGTTTGTATAGTACTTGACTAAACTCTGAACAATTAACTTGTTCATTCTGTAAATCTCTGTAGAAAGGATGACCAAAATGGACCTACAGAAATTAATTGGAATTCTAATGGAACTGAGCACATCAAATTTAACCATGTTACTTTGGTCTATATAAAAATGTTAAAAACCTAGATGCAGTGGAGCACTGGTGTGATTCAGACAATAGTTGGTTGTGCTAAAACACACCACTCAAATAATTTTGAGGACCAATTTTGCATTGTTAGTAACTCAGAAAGAACATAAGACTCTAACTGTGGGATTTTCCTTTTGGCAGTTTAATCCACTGTGTTCAGCTCATTCTCAGTGAACAGCCCTTTTCTTTCTGTACACTTTCCTGTTTCTATGACATTCTCTGTTAGCCCTCCCTTTGCTTCCGACCCTTGCTTCACCCCCATTTTCCCTTGGTCTCCTTGTTCTGTGTCTTCTCTCCTCCACCATCTCTGTCCCTCACTGAGTTCAGTGGGAATAGCACACAATGCTTTTGTTTCCACTTTTAACTGGCTGTCAAAGAGTAGAAAAGTCTCTCCTCCCTTTCCAATCCATTTTTTAAAATTAATGGTGCTGTGAATAGTGATGGTGAGGGGATACAGTGGTGGGGTTGTTTTTGTTGGTGGTGATGATGTTTGTTGTTTCTGCTGCTTTTTGTTTCAATTTATTATAATTGCAAATGAGTGGAACGTTAAAAAAAAACTAGAGTGGGAGCCACTGAATCCAGGGACAGATGAAGCAAAGCAAATTCAGGCATGTTCCTTTCTCCAGGTTTTTACAGGTTCAGGTAGGCCTTCAATATTCCCAGAAAGTTGAAGCAAAGGATAGCAAACAATGGATAATTGAAATGCCCCCGAAGGCAGCAAATAGTCAAGGGGGAATACAATTGGCCCATGAGTCTTTTGTTCTGTAGGATGGTCCCAGGATGGAGGGATTCCTCAGCAGTATCAGCCACTCTGATATTGGTGATTTCCTTGAGTGTCCATTTTAATTTCCTGTGGTACTGTTGAGTAATGTTGCATGGGAGGCATTGTGGAAAACAGAAAGGGCTATTTACTGTAGTTACTGGGTACAGTTCTCCAGGACAGGCATCAGTGCTGGTATGCACTGCAGTGCAGGGGACCAGGTAGTGACCCCTGCTTTAGGATTTGGGAGTTAAGTTTAAGGGCGATTGTAATTTAGAGGCATTCAGCCATAATCCCACACATGGTAGTTTTGCACCATTGGCTCCTCAGCCAAGTACATATGCCAGATGTCTCAATCTGTGTTTCCTCTCTCACTGAGCAGGATTACTGTTGCAACTACACATCACCAGCATGGTAAACCCTGAGGAGGAATTCCTCAGGCTTGGAAAGCACTTTACACAATTAAATGCAATATAAATAATGAATAATATGCTTGATTTATGGTGAACTGGACCTAGCAAGTTTGTGGTTAGGGCAAGTTGATATTGATTGCAATGTGTTTGATTTATCTTAAATGACTTCAGTTGATATAAATTTCCTTAGAAGGACATTTCATAATCGATTTATTAATCCTTAATAATCCTGGTAGAAAGGCCTTTGTAATCCCTGTGCTAGAACATTGAAAAGAAATACTCTTTAGCACTAGAAACCGCAATTATTCTGTGGTAGAGAATACTATAACCTGGGCTTAGGATACTTGAAAGATCACCTATTTTTTTATGAGCCTGCTTGACCTTTCAGAACCTCTTTAGAGGTAGTATTAGGAATTTCCCCTTTTTAGGTTCAGTTGGTAGCAAACTGGAGTAAAGCTTTCTCAGTTATGGTACCTCTTCATCTTTGAAAGTTCCTGCACCTGTCAGTTTATAAGTTGCTCACTGTAATTGGCAACATTTCCACATTTTTGTTTTCTTTCACTTTTACTGAAATTTGACTTTATTGCTGCTTGCTGATTGAATCTATTTTTCTTTTGTTTTGAATTAGCATGCAAATTTGCATTTTATTATGGTGGTTGCCTCAGTACACTGACTGAGAGGTGCAGGGAGATGCATTTTTAATAAATAATAAATTAATTAATAGCTGGGGCAGAAAAGGATTAGCAGATCTTCAGAAAATAGGTCTCTCATAGAACCTCCAAGTTCAGAAGTAGTCTACTTCCAAAAGCTAGTTGCTAGCACTCATGCAGCCTCAACCTCAGCAAGGGAAGGGCTGCTGCCTTCCTGCATGGGTGGGTGGTCACATTTGAAAATAAGATCTTTTTCTAGACTGCCCCTTGGTTTAATCTTGCAGCTCTCCATAAGCTATCTAAGTGTGGATTCAACAATCTTTCTTTCTCCAGGTTTGATGATCCCTGTCTTTTGTGTGGTGGAGCAGCTGGACACTTCTCTTGAATATGATAATCGAGAAGAACATGCGGAGTTTGTTCTGGTTCGCAAAGATGTGCTTTTTAGTCAGCTGGTGGAGACTGCGCTTTTGGCTCTTGGATATTCTCACAGCTCGGCAGCTCAGGCACAAGGTACTGCATAAAAGCATTTGTTTGTTTAGTAGCATACAAGAAGATCCTCCAGAGTCGGAGAGCATGCTAAAGGCAAATACAGCAGCTTGTAGCAGACCTAGGAAGCAGCTAATCAGTTTGGTCAAGGAATTCCCTGTAAACACTCATTAAAGCTGCAACCCTATGCCCAGTTACTTGAAGTGAGTCCAATTGAAGATAGCAGAACTTACACAAGAATGAACATACCGAAGATCAGGCTGCACAATGTGAATAATTATCTATTTGCTGCCCGGCTCACAGTTGCTGCCTCAAGAAGAATATTTTAGTGTGTGTATAGTTAACCAAGGCATACTGACACCCTGAAAAACCTTGTTTTGAGAACACAATGTGATACCAGGCATTCATGATAAATATAAAAATACTTCCAGAGGGTAGATGTGGTAGTCTACTGGAACAAGAGAGACCAAGAAATTTTTGGCATCTTAAAAAACTAGGAAATCTATTCTGGCACAGTTTTTGGTGGACACGGCCCATTCAGTCAGATTTTTATTTAATGACTGTGTAGTATTATTAATTTGTCCTTCTGACTGAGTGCCATAGATAATATTTTATAGGTAATTTTATTCCTCCAGATAGAGACAGCTTGTTTTGATAAATAATTTGGAATGGCTTACACAGTTAAATAACTTTAGAACTGTATTTTTAAGCATGTTTGCTTGGACAAAAGTTTCATTGATTGCACCAGGAATTACTTCTCAGTAAAGCTGGTTAGAATTTGGTGGCAAGTGAATTTTAAATTTTGCCACTGGCTATCAATCAGTCTTTTCATTATGTGGTCTAATATTGAAGGTGAGACATGTGCACCATATGAGTTTTTTGCTAAATGAAACTAAGCCTCTTGGAAAAGAGACTGCTAATAAGGCAACATTTTGAAGGCATTTTTTAAATCAAAGCAATGTGAAGATTATTCCCATTGTCTGTTAGTGAGTTTAATTACAATTAAAACATACATATAAGAGTAGAGTTCAGCAATGTAGCATTCACTTACCAAACAGAAAAAAGCAATACAAGTATTTTAAAGAACCGCTTCATGCCAGTTTAGGGACATTTCTTTCTGAATATAAAGGTCGCTGTATCCCGCTGTTCCTGTCATGGTAAACCAGCTTCCTCTTTGACAGCACTATCCATCTTGGTTAACACAGTTGCTCAACATGTTGGGAGCTAACGTGTGGAACGTTGTGAATTAAGCAGCCAAGGCATCATTCTTGGCATCTACAAAGGAAAGGATATTTCAAGAAAGGGTGCTTTAATGGAGGCATGCAATTCCATTCACTGACCCACATTAGTTGAGCATTGCACTTGGGGAAATACAGGAGTATTCCAACTAGGAAGAGGAGATCAGCTCAAATTGGCCATTGGCTTTTTCATTCTAAGGAAACAGCAGCTTTGCTAGTAGGTTGATGTTTGCTTGTTTGGCACTATAGTGTTGTGGTCCAGAGACTGCTTGGTGTTGATTTACATGTTTCTACTCACTGTTGAATTACTTTTAAAAAACACTCAAAAATAAGGCTAGACCTGCCAAATGTTATTTATTTTAACAGTTGCCACCATTTTGCCCTTTTAAAAATACTCATCTGGAAGTGCATTTCTAGGAAACCATGCCAATCACAATTTAATCACTGGGAGTTTGTACACACCCTTATTGTGATGTAATTTGATTGTTGCAGCCCATTCTCTTTCTGTTTATGGTCTGTATGGTCTTTTCTATGGAATGATGGCTGGCAAAATATTTGATTGATTTTGAGGTTAAAGCTTTTATACAAATAGATATGTTCTTGAACAAATAGTAATTTCAGATACATTAAAAGGAATATGCCAATTGCTGTTCTAATAAGTTCTGGGTGTGAAATAGGAATTGGAGTTCTTATCTTAAGTTTCCAGAATCTTAACTTTCTCAGTTTTATTATACAGGGCAAAGGGTGGCTCTGCCCTTCAGTCTGTGAGATTGATCGAGGCAAATAATGTCCACAAAGCTGTTTGATTAAGACTAAGAACCCATCAGATAACACTTTTACCTGATAAAGGAATTTACTGTGGTTACGCTTTGTAATACTGAATTGATAGAAACCTTCCTGTTAGAGTACCATTCTCCATGCAAGGAACCCACCTGAGTGTGCCCTTGCTTGTTGTGTTAGATTCACAGATGCAGGGAGATTTTAGTACAAGGGTGCTTGCAAATTATTGACCTACTTTGCATTATTAATTGGTGGAGTGTCCATGTGAGTGTTTGATTTGGCTTTGATGATATGTAAGTTACCATATTTAGATGTCATGGTAAGCAAGATTTTTTTTTGAAAAACCTGGTTTATGCTGAGTAGCAGCTTTGCCACCAGACTCTGCTCAGTCACTCCTGGCTGGTTGTGGTGTGTGAATTGGGCCAGTATTTAAACACTGAAAGTCTCATAACAGGGGAATATACATTTTAATAATATTTTTAGCAGGGTGATAGTGTTACTATGATTTCCAAGGCATTTATTCCAGTGAGGAAGATCACATTAAACTGTTGTTGGTTTGTTTTCCTTTTTGTACTGCCCATTAACTACCCACTCTCTTGGTTAATCACTCTCTAGGTGGTTTACAGAAGTTAAACTTAAAAAGTTAATAAGACACATGTACAAAAATTAATTTAAAAGAAGAGGAGGAATTGAGCCAAATCTTTTCCAGTATATATATTTAGGAACAAAAGCTAGCATGATTTGAAAGGTTGAGCCTTTGGCATGAAGTAGGTTTAATAACATCTAAGTTGTAGTGCCAATCCTAGAATGTATACTTTGACATAACGGTATTGCAGTTGGAGATGGGCAAATCTATCAAGCTCAGTTTCTTTCAGTTTGTTTGGTTTTTTTTTAATGCTAAGCTTTTTTTGTCCCACATTGAATTGTTTTCTTTTTAGCTTGCACAAAAAACTTTTTTGAAATTTTGAAAAATTCTGTATTTTGAAATACAGAATATTTTGAAATATTCTGCATTTTTGAAAATTCTGTATTTTGTATGTATTTTATGTGCACTTTTGCAAATTTACACCTGAATAAAGCTTAGTGTTTGAGACTATATACAGTTTTGAATGCATTTTCAAAATCTATGCACTTTGAAAAGGCATACATTTCAGTGGCTGGTTGGGTTCCAGTTCATGTTTAGGTTTAGGAAGCGCACATTTTTAAAGTTTGCATTGAAATGCAAACCAAATTTCTTGGCTATTCCTAATCATGGTACCCTTGTGCAGGGGAAGGCTACATATATGCTGCCATGGCTGTTAGTATGGCTTCCCAAGCTCTTCTGCCACCACCAAAATCCCAGTAATTCTGTTGGGAAACAGGGTGTGTAAGAAGTGCATACCTTGTTTCCCAGGAGAATTTGGCTTCTCTTTTCCCTTCTTTGAATGGTTGTTGGGAACGTGGTTCTGCTTTGGAAATAGGACATGCTCCCTACATGCTTTGTTTCCCTGCACACACACTGATTTGGTTTCTATTATTCTACATTATTATTGTAGTGGTCACTCAAAGAGCATGATGCTAGTTGAATTCAAACAAATTCAATAAATAAAATTCTGCAGGGAAACAGGGTGTACAGGGATAGCGTCCTTTGTGTACTCTGTTTCCCTGCAGAATAGCGTTTGCATGTGTCCATTGAACAGCCCATCAAAAGTTGTCAGAGCCCATTCTACTGGGAAGCAAGGTTTCCCCTTTCCATGGGGCAGAGGTGCAGTCCCCATAGAATTCTGAGTGGGCCAAAGCATGAGATGCTAACCTCTGCCCCTGTGTTCAGCATATTTGGGGACTGATCCAATCAGAAGCAATGTCAGACCAAACAAAGAATTTTCTGACTATTTTGCTGCTGGCCCAGTCCCTCCTCTAGAAAGAGAACCATGCCACCCTTTGGGACAAGAATATGGTGGCCAAACGTGGTCTTCTGGTTGAAGGGCTATCTGGTCCAAGTAAAGCTAAGCAACCATAAGGAAGGAGCATAGGTTGTTGAAATTAAATATAAATTTAAACCCTAAATATACTATTTTTCTATCTGATTTATAATAATTCTTAATTTGCATCTGCACATCCATGTCTCTTTTGTCTTCTGTTTTGGTGATGAATTCCCTGTATTTTGGTGATGTGTATGTGGCCACCCTACTTAACAACTACAAATTCTGGGGTTCCCTAGTTTTTACAAACAGAGTCAATAGAGTGTGGCATTTGATGGGCAGTGGAAGAGAGGCCTAAGCAAGAACCACAGGCATGGCTTCTGAGGAAAAGTGGGAAGCAGTGGGCATTATTCCACTGTGTCATTCTGCTAATGTTAATAATGCTGTGCTAGCAGAAGCCAGTTTCCCAATTATGTGCAAGAGGAAAATTCAGCTAAAGCTGCATTTGTGCAAGTGTGGCTGCACAAGTGTTTCTATAACAGATTATGTGGAATGGTTGTGCATTGCACTTACGTAACCCATTGTGCAACTAGTTGTGCATTACGCTTGTGCAACCATTTGCACAATACGTTGCAGGAAGTATAATGTGTAGCTACTTGCACAACAAAAATGTTCAGCAGAGGTCTGCTAGCGCTGTTTGGGTTTGCAGAATGGCATGGGTGGTTTTTATCATTGTTTGTATTTTTCAAAATTATATTTCATGAATTTTGTAAACCATCCAGAGGGCTTTGTCTCTTGGGCTGTATAGAAATAAAACAATAGTAAAAAATAAGAATACCACCCATTGTTACTGGTGGGGTTACCAGCTTGAAAAAGCAAGTGAGTTTTTTCCCTAGAACATTTACAAGAATTTAAAGTGAAGATACTTCTCTGCTGGTGGTTTGTAGTATTTCCTGGTCTGCAATAAGGTACATAAAGAATTGTAACCTGACTTGCCGTCTGGTGGTGGGATGGATTACAGCTGTTTTTGTGTGTGTATCCCACTTTGTTTCTTTGTCATTACTGGCTGTGGCAAAGCTCTACAAGTGGAAAAGTGATTCCTATT